AGTAAAGCTGGTTGGGTTGATCTGGTTGGTTGTCATCAGAATTAAGCTGGTTGGGTTGATCTAGTTGGTTTGTCATCAGAGTCGCTGGTTGGATTGATCTGGTTGAACGTTGTCATCAGGGGTCGCTGGTTGGGTTGATCTAGTTGGTTGTCATCAGAGTCCGCTCAGTTTGGGTTAAGTCTGGTTAGTTTGTCGTAGAGAATTCGCTGGTTGGAGTTGATCTGGTTGGTTGTCATCAGGAGTCCTTTGGTTGGTTGATCTGGTTGGTTGTCATCAGAGAATTAAGCTGGTTGGGTTAATCTGGTTAGTTGTCATCGAGGGAGTCGCTGGTTGGGTTGATCTGGTTAGTTGTCATCAGAATTAGCTGGATTTGGATGATCTGGTTGGTTGTCATCAGGGAATTAAGCTGGTTGGGTTGATCTGGTTTAGTTGTCATCAGAATTCGCTGGTTGGAGTTCAATCTGGTTAGATTGTCATCAGGAGTAGCTGGTTAGGTTGATCTGGTTGGTTGTCATCAGAGTCGCTGGTTGGGTTTATCTGGTTAGTTGTCGTCGAGGTCGCTGGATTGGGTTGATCCTGGTTAGTTGTCATCAGAGTGGCTGGCTGGGTTGATCTGGTTAGTTGTCATCAGGGAGTCGCTGGTTGGGTTGATCTGGTTGGTTGTCATCAGGGAGTCGCTGGTTGGGTTGATCTAGGTGGTTGTCATCAGGGAGTCACTGGTTGGGTTGATCTAGTTAGTTGTCATCAGGGAGTCGCTGGTTGGGTTGATCTGGTTAGTTGTCATCAGGGAGTCGCTGGTTGGGTTGATCTGGTTGGTTGTCATCAGGGAGTCGCTGGTTGGGTTGATCTAGTTAGTTGTCATCAGGGAGTCGCTGGTTGGGTTGATCTGGTTAGTTGTCATCAGGGAGTCGCTGGTTGGGTTGATCTGGTTGGTTGTCATCAGGGAGTCGCTGGTTGGGTTGATCTAGTTAGTTGTCATCAGGGAGTCGCTGGTTGGGTTGATCTGGTTAGTTGTCATCAGGGAGTCGCTGGTTGGGTTGATCTGGTTGGTTGTCATCAGGGAGTCGCTGGTTGGGTTGATCTAGTTAGTTGTCATCAGGGAGTCGCTGGTTGGGTTGATCTGGTTAGTTGTCATCAGGGAGTCGCTGGTTGGGTTGATCTGGTTAGTTGTCATCAGGGAGTCGCTGGTTGGGTTGATCTGGTTGGTTGTCATCAGGGAGTCGCTGGTTGGGTTGATCTAGGTTGGTTGTCATCAGGGAGTCGCTGGTTGGGTTGATCTAGTTAGTTGTCATCAGGGAGTCGCTGGTTGGGTTGATCTGGTTAGTTGTCATCAGGGAGTCGCTGGTTGGGTTGATCTGGTTGGTTGTCATCAGGGAGTCGCTGGTTGGGTTGATCTAGTTAGTTGTCATCAGGGAGTCGCTGGTTGGGTTGATCTGGTTAGTTGTCATCAGGGAGTCGCTGGTTGGGTTGATCTGGTTGGTTGTCATCAGGGAGTCGCTGGTTGGGTTGATCTAGTTAGTTGTCATCAGGGAGTCGCTGGTTGGGTTGATCTGGTTAGTTGTCATCAGGGAGTCGCTGGTTGGGTTGATCTGGTTGGTTGTCATCAGGGAGTCGCTGGTTGGGTTGATCTGGTTTGTTGTCATGAAATTCGCTGGTTGGGTTGATCTGGTTGGTTGTCATCAGGGAGTCGCTGGTTGGGTTGATCTGGTTGGTTGTCATCAGGGAGTCGCTGGTTGGGTTGATCTAGTTAGTTGTCATCAGGGAGTCGCTGGTTGGGTTGATCTGGTTAGTTGTCATCAGGGAGTCGCTGGTTGGGTTGATCTGGTTGGTTGTCATCAGGGAGTCGCTGGTTGGGTTGATCTAGTTAGTTGTCATCAGGGAGTCGCTGGTTGGGTTGATCTGGTTAGTTGTCATCAGGGAGTCGCTGGTTGGGTTGATCTGGTTGGTTGTCATCAGGGAGTCGCTGGTTGGGTTGATCTAGTTAGTTGTCATCAGGGAGTCGCTGGTTGGGTTGATCTGGTTAGTTGTCATCAGGGAGTCGCTGGTTGGGTTGATCTGGTTGGTTGTCATCAGGGAGTCGCTGGTTGGGTTGATCTGGTTTGTTGTCATGAAGTCGCTGGTTGGGTTGATCTGGTTAGTTGTCATCAGGGGTCGCTGGTTGGGTTGATCTGGTTAGTTGTCATCAGGGAGTGGCTGGTTGGGTTGATCTGGTTAGTTGTCATCAGGGGGTCGCTGGTTGGGTTGATCTGGTTGGTTGTCATCAGTGAGTCGCTGGTTGGGTTGATTTGGTTAGTTGTCATGAGGGAGTCGCTGGTTTGGTTGTTCTGGTTAGTTGTCATCAGGGAGTCGGTGGTTGGGTTGATCTGGTTGGTTGTCATCAGGGAGTGGCTGGTTGGGTTGATCTGGTTGGTTGTCATCAGGGAGTCGCTGGTTGGGTTGATCAGGCTGAGTCACAAGAGCTTGGAGGTCATTTCCATATTTTAATATTTCAATGAATTCTCTTGGTAGTAATGGAGAAGTCAATTCCACTGAAGCGTTACACCCAGACATAGCAGAGTATGATGAACAATTTATTCCGGCAAGATAAGTGGAATTTTTCTAGAATTGCACGAATTCGATACCAACAGTAATCTTGTGAGCTATTGTCTGCCATCCATGCAACCAACACATCTCTGATATCTCCATTGGCCCTTTCAACGGATCCCTGGCTATTGGGATGTCGAAGCTTTCCATGGACCAATATAATAGATCTGGTCACGTTTATAACAATTCAGTGATGATATGACATGTGATGTAAATTTAGATCCGTTATCACTCTGGAGAATAGCTGGGGGACCAATGAGAAAGATATTTAAAAAGTGGAATGCAGCGATCACATGTGATTTTTTTTTAAGTCCGGGTGTCAAGGACTGAAAGACGTGGCCGACAGGTGCTGTTTCGTTAAGTCGGGACCATAGATTATGGTCAAGGGACTAACACAGTTAGTCTTCTTGTGTCAGGCCAGGTCAATCAAGGCCAGAATTGCCCTGATGACACGTTTCGCAACAGAAGTTCCACACTCCTACCTGTGAGCTGTTCTCAGCTAGGTTTATAAAAACTTAAGAACATGAGAATGGAGGAAACTACAGCGGGCCTATTGGCCCATACTGGGCAGTCCCGTTTACACCCAACCCCTATAACCCATATATTCATGCAACCTATGTTTGAAGCTGTCTAGTGTATTCAAGTTAATGTTGATGTTTGGTAACTTGTTCGACTCATCCACTACTCTATTTCCAAACCAATGTTTACCTATCTTGCACCTATATCTAAATTTGTCTAATTTAAAACCATAGCTACGAGTTCGCTCCTGGTTGGATGGTTTGAGTACCTTTATTGTATCACCTTTGTTTAGCCCTGACTTCCATTTACACATCCCAATCATATCGCCTCTCACTCTACGTCTCTCGAAGGAGTGCAAATTAAGATGCGGAAAGAAATGGCAACAAATTTCAAAGATAGATATCCATAGTCTTTTGATTTTGTTCAGTTTTGCTCTCATAATGTCAGAGTTACATGCTCACACCGAGGCAAGGGCGAATTTTGAAGTTTATGATGACATAGTAAAGTTTTGGATTACTTTATCCAAGGGACATTCATCGCTAAATATCGATCTATCAAGGTTCTGGTACAATTTGGAAGCATCTATGTCTGTGAGGCAGCTTTCTCGCCAATAGTGTTTATAACAAAAATATTATAATAACTGTATATCACACTTCAATTAAGAAAATTGTATGATTTTCAAATTTGCCCCGCAAGGGGGCTAGTTTATTGGGCACCCCCATGAATGCTGTGCAAAGCAAAGCTCAAACGCGTTTATAGTGTGTCACGGAGAAAAACATTAATAACAAAATGCAGGGGAAACAATGGAAAAGCAAGATTACAATCACTGTCCTGTTCTAACATCTACATCCTGTATTCACCAATGGAGGAGAGAGCATCTCCAACATAAACAAACAATACATCTTCTACAATTTGAATATTAACTCAAAACTTCTTTTGTATATGTTTTGTATAAATGTATATTATATGATTACAAAATATTAGAAATTACATTGAACTAATATAATTCACATTGAATACACACAATAAACTCATTTCAAGGGACATATATCTTTTTACATCTTTCATGTAAAACCAAACCGCATTTACAATGGTGATTGATACAAAAGTACATACAGCACACATCTTAGTATATTAACGGTATGTAAATACAGTGCCATATGTAACAAGCGCCCAACAGGGAAGCATGCCGAGTTCATACTTGCCTTCACGACTCGTGCATTTCTATGTTGCTTAACTTCATATACCACCAGGAATAGAAATTAATCAAATAATGACGTACATATGTCAGATATGAATTATGCTACAGTCTTAGCATTTGACATATGACAGTTGTAACTTTAAAAATATGTGTTCTATGCTGTTTAATTACATAATTATAACCCAGTTAACATAAAGAGTATTAAATAATAATGTATATATATATATATATATATATATATATATATATATATATATATATATATATATATATATATATATATATATATAATCACTGTAGGTGCGCGTGATCTAGGTATATGCTGATAACCACAAGGAAAGAAGAAACACGTTCCCAAGCGCTTTCGTGTAATTCACACTAGTCTGTACTCACCCCTGAAGATGTGAATTACACGAAAGCGCTTGGGAACTTCGTGTTTTTCTTTCCTTGTGGTTATCAGCATATATATATATATATATATATATATATATATATATATATATATATATATATATATATATATATATATATATATATATATATATATATATATATATATATATATATATATATATATATATATATATATATATTGTGACGTCATTAGATGTAACTGTGGCACTACTTGGCACTGCTACCTCGAGCTTGTATATAAGCTACGGTGGCCATGGCTGGTCACATTTCCACGGTGCATTTAGCGGTAGACGGGAGTATCGTTTTTCGCAAGATAATAAGGTAAGTCGATAAGGATGGTACGTTAATATTTTTTCAAGTGGTATCTGTATTACTGGGTAGCGTGAATAGATTTTACTCACCAGAAATATAGTAGCATGTTTTTATATGGCAAATAGATAATATTTAACTCTGTTTTATCGCATATATCGCCCAGTGTATTTGTAATACGCACTGAAATACATATCGGTGTTATAAGATATTACTACCCTTCAACAGCTGAGGTTTATAAGCACTTTAAAGAGAGTAGTCACTAAGAACTATGGGATATAGCATATCCTACACGTGTTGTATAATTGTGCTAAAATACAGACATACTTGTATAATCTATAATTCCATATAACCGTATACTTTGAGTAGCGAGGGTGAAGACTGAGGTAAATAAATGGATGTTGATCAAATAGGAGTGAAGGACATAATAGTTAATTTTCTTACACATTTTCCAAATTAAAATTATACAACTGTGGATTGAATAACTTTGTTACTTTATTTTACCTAAGATGTCGTCCTGGAGATGTGTAGTAATTCTTAAGTAATGAGGTAAGTGGTGGTTGGCTGACCCGACTGTGTTCATGAAAAGCCGATGAGGATGAACCTAGTATAAGGAAAATCAGTGTGGCAGGATTCTTTATGTTAAAACATGCGGGAATTAAGGTTACATGAAGTGTTAAACGTATCGAACGCAAAAAAAAAAAAAAAACATGACAGACACCATGTTTTTAAAACATGTTCCCAAGCACGAGTGTTTACATGCAATACCTTAATAATCTTAGGAAAGGAAGTGTTCAAAACACGTAAAGGGAATTTGTCACTGTAGAACTTTCAGTATAGATGAACATGTAAATGCATCTGCTTTCACTGGCGCTGTAAATGAAGCAGTGAGTTTTAACCAAAATTTGGTTCTTTTCTGCTAAGATCAAACATTAGCCTATGCTCGCGGAGGTAAAGATCTGCTTGTCTCTTCGTAAGTAGATTTCGAAATCACTGTATCACGCGAAGGATGATTGAAATTTGAATATAATTGAATAAGAAAAAAACAGTTGTTACGAAATTGTTTTCTTGAACATAAAAAACTGAGTAATTGCCTATGTTCGTGTTATGTTTTTTTTGTTTTTTTTAATACATAGAAGTGTTGGAGAATGGAAGTTAAATACGAATGTGAAGTTTTTCGAAGTTCTAGCTACTCTGTGAGATCTTCACATTCAACGAAAAAATAGTTTACGTGTAAATTTCTGGTAATTTTTAAGCATTACATATTGTTGGTGTGCCTTTAGAAAGTATCGTATTTTAACTTTCCAATCACTCAGATCCAAGATAATTAGATAATTAAATATGCACTCTTTCCTTTTCTTTCCAACATATTCAAGGAGTAACAAAATTGTTGCGCAAAGAATAAAATTAAATCCTGCGCTAAGAATTGAGTGAATAAGGTAGACGGAAACATAGTGTAAACGAGACTATGTAATATGTCCAGGTTATTTTTAGATCTCATTTAATTTTTACCACCAAGGAGTGAAATAGCTTGTAGTAGTTGGAAGCTCTCCCTTATTACTTAACACATATGTCTTTGCCTTATAAAAATATAGACATGCTGGAACCAACCTTGGATGTCAAGTATTGATTAAATGTCTGTTTGCCATCCAAACATTAATCTAAGCTAACCTAAAATAAGTTAAACTATCCTAACCAAGCCTAATCTAACTTATTCTACCCTAACATAATGTAACTTAATTTAAGTAAACGTAGCCTAACCTGACCTAGAAATCCATCATATTATAGTTATATTCTTATTATTTCTCCGTGCAAATTAATCCTAGTTAAATAATTCAATTTTGAACAATTAGCGTTAGTGGCGTGGTGAGGACGCTGTTAGCCTTAGTTCGATAACCGTTTATGTTGTACAGTTTATATATTGTACAGTTAGACCTATGTTATGTAACAGGAATAAATGTTGATTAAGCTTTTGAGATAATAATTATATAATTATAGGATCCAGATTTATTCAACATATACTGTACGTTGGCGTTATAAAGTTATTACTGCGCTTCAAAAACTAAATTCTTTAAGTACCAAAGAAAACTAGCAACTCCACTAGTCCATTTGCAAATAAAAACTATAAATTATAAGAGATATAACTCTCTATATTAACATGAATATCTAAAGTGAGAGATTCTTACAATCGCGTTCAACAGAGGCAGCAAGAGCATTATGGACGTAAGAGAAGCAAAAACCCTAGAGTTGATTAACGATCGCGCCAGGATTGTATGGCTGTGGATGTGTGGTATGTCTGCGCGGAAAATTTCGTGCAAGACCGGGGCGAGCATATCCACAGTGTACAGATGGATCAAGAGGTGGAAGGAGAAAGGCACCGTGCAGACAAGACCTGACTGTAAAAGACAAATCGTCATTCCTCAAGAAGACAATTACGCCGTTCCTGTATACACGCATTTACCTCACCCAAGAATAATAGATTACAGATTTCCTCTTCATATCCATTACACTCCATACGCAGCAAGATATACATTTTCCCATGGCAGTTCCTTTCATGAAATATATCCTTTTTGTAATGATTTATTTTCGAAACATTACCATTAAGAGTGAACAACACATTTAGTTTAAGATATGCGTTTATTATCACATTCAAATTAACTACAGGCCAACCTTTATCTTGAGAAACAGTAAAGTAGAAAACAATGTAGACACTAATTCCTTTATACTCAACCAAATTAGGTATCGTGTTCAAAGTTGGTAGTAATTTAAATATCCATTGATAGAACTGTTTACGGAGGACGTATAATAAAAAGCATGTATCCTAGGAGATCTCTTTAATAAACTGGTTAGTTTCTATAGTCATATATTATTATATTATTTGAATTTGTTTTAAAAATGGCAACATTAAATAAAAAGTTATACAATTTATCTTTTATTCAATCACTCATATTCGTGCTTTTGAATATATATATATATATATATATATATATATATATATATATATATATATATATACTGCTTTGCTAGTGTGCAACCGCCGTCCGGCTGACAGCGACATAATTTTCCAGCGTAAATAAAATGGTTAATTAATGCCTTCCTAAAGAACAATCGACATGGGACCAGGTTTGTTCCACTCTACGAATTTTTTGCGATTTTTGATGAAAAACGATTATGCCGTTTCGGGTGCCCAGAACAGACACACACACACAGACACACGGTTATTCATATAGTATATTAGATAGATGGTCGTGGTTGTTATAATCATGGTCGTGGTTGTTATAATCATGGTCGTAGTAGTTATAATCATAGTCGTGGTTGTTATAATCATGGTCGTGGTTATAATAATCATGGTCGTGGTTGTTGTAATCATGGTCGTGGATATAATCATGGGCCTAGGATTTGAAGGACTGCTGAAAGAAAATTATTCAGTAGTGGACGCCTCTTAAGTGGCTTTGCTTTGTAAAATATTCTGTTGTACTGTTATCAGTTGATCCTTGGAGATCGTATGTGTACAGAATATAGGAATGTGAAAGAGTTCCATTTAGTTTGTTAAGTAGAAAAGCAGGTATATGTTAGAATTAATTAAGTTAACTGTGAAATACCGTAAGTTAGTCATGGGCCGCATTATGATTTAGGTATTTTTCCGCGGGCAAACCCACCAAAATTTGTAGCCTGCCTGACCCAAAAGTAATGTTTATATTGTATTAGCACAGAAAGTGAAAAAGTTTATCGACACGTCTACCTAACGATATTTTCAGGTTACAATCACAGTCGTTGGCATTTAACAGAAGGTGAGTGAAGCAGTCTGTGAATAAGGTGATTTTTCCTGCAGTTAAAGTATTCGTCTTACTTATGAGACAAACGCACCAGAATAATACCAATGTTAATATATGAGGAACTACAATGAAACAGCCTCTCTCTATATATATATAAAAGAACATAACATAAGAACATAAGAAAGTGGGATACTGCAGGAGGCCGACTGGCCCATACAGGGCAGATCCCTTTCACACCCATCCCAGCACTTCCATGTGCCTATCCAACTTCGTCTTGAAGCTCCCCAGCGTCCCCGATCCTACTATAGCACTCGGTAGCCTATTCCACATATCCACAACTCTATTACCAAACCAGTGCTTGCCTACATCCTTTCTGAATCGGAATTTATCTAATTTAAAGCCATTTGTTCTAGTTATTTCGTTATTACTGAGCTTCAGAACATCTTCCATTTTACCCTTGTTAATCCCACTTACCCACTTGTACACCTCTATCATATCTCCCCTAACTCTCGCCTCTCCTAATGAATGTAAGCCCTAAGCTTTTCAGTCTTTCTTCATATGGAAGGTTTCTATCAATATGGATCATTTTTGTCATTCTTCTTTGTACTCTCTCCAAAGAATCTATGTCCATTCTATAATAAGGACACCAGACTGAACCGCATAATCCATGTGTGGCCTCACTAATGCTGGAAATGCAAAGTTTCAAGATAACGTCAGCAGTTCTGTTACTCACAGACCTAGATATGAACCCAAGAATCCTGTTTGCCTTGTTGCGAACGCTAATACATTGTTTTCTAGGTTTCAAGTCGTTGCTAACAAATACACCTAGATCTTTTTCACAAACTGAGTTTTCTATTTCCGTGTTACCTAGTTTATACTTAACGTTTGTATTCGTCTACCCTATCTGTAGTACCTTGCATTTATCAGTATTAAAATTCATTTGCCAGTCTACTGACCACTCATGTAAGGTATCTAGATCTCTTTGAAGGTGTTCAAAGTCACTGTCTGAATTTATCACTCTCCCCATTTTGGTATCATCTGCAAATTTACTAATCCTACTAGTTATACCTAAATCAAGATCATTAATGAATATAACAAACAGCAGAGGGCCTAATACAGATCCCTGGGGAACTCGGCTTTTGACCGCACCCCAGTCTGACTTTAATCCATTTATGCTGACTCTTTGTTTCCTACCAGTTAACCATGACCTAATCCATTTTAATACTGATCCACCTA